TCTTTTCTCGAGGTATAGGATTGAGGCTTCTCACACATTGTGGCTTTAGAAAGCCTCCCAAAGACACGCACACGTGTGTTCCCAGAGATGTTCGCAAAGGCCATGGCGTCCTGGAAGTGCAGGCACCACCTTGGATTGCAAGCTGATTCCTTAAGCTTTCCCAAAGTTTCAGCAGCTTTCATTCTGGCACCGTCTGGGGTCCAGGTTGGAGGGGGAGGGGGGGGGCAGCAACCCTGGAGATTAGCTGCTGTCTTCTTATCGGGGCTTTCTATGTCGGTTACAAGGAGCGAGTGCCCCAGCGGCTGCAGAGCCAATAATCAGTAGACCAGAAGCGAAACGCCTTAAGACTCACGAGCACAGACGCGAACTGAAGCTCATTCGCGAGCACCAACCTCAGGTTGAAGAAAGGACAGGTCTTAGGTGGCGCTCGTGTTTCAGCGGTGGTTCGCCATAACTCCAACAGCTTCTTTTGAAACCTCTTTGCTTCTCCAATTTCAGCCGGGGATGCGTTGTTCATAGGTTCGGCTCGCTGCACTTCTCCAAAGCCACACACACATCTATTTTCGTGGCTGAAGCATCCCACACACCCAAACCGCCCAAACCTCCGTCTTTGCGTTGGCAGGTGAACCTCCTGCGTGGAAAGGCCAGGCAGATGGTCGGATTTGGGCGGATGGATTTGCAGGTCAAGGGCTGCTTTACTTTTTTGCTTTTCAGCACTGTCTCCCACTTATTGTCTCACAACGGGTCGCTTGCTGGTTTAGCATTTCATGTCTGCTCAATGCTCGTTTCGAGTCGGGGAGAACACGCTGTTGAGCTACATCGTTTCTGTAAGGCCTAGCAGAGAACATGTTTCAGATAGCAAGGAATGTATGGACAATTGCCCACAGGCATACAGACAAGTTTACAGCTATGTGCACACACACACATATATATATATGCATACATTATCGACATGTCATAAGTAATGATGATAATAGTAGCAATAATATAAATACTAATAGTAATAGTAAAACTCATAATCATCATCACCATCGCAACAATAACAAGAAGAAGCATAATACTATGAAGAATAAGGATAAGAGAAATAATGATAATAACAAGAATAATATGAGCGTACTTTATATATATATATATTACTATATATTACATATTGCATATTATATATTCTAAAAACCTTTGATCACATTATCTCTCTCTCTCTCTGTATGTATATATATATATATATTCTGTGATAATGTTCTTCTTTATGTATTATGTATTCTTGATTATGTTATGTTCTTTATTATTCATTATTATATATTATATGTTATATAGGTTATAAGATCTCATACTGTATTATCTTAGTACGGCCTATTACTTCATTAATCAACCACACGGCCGATATCTGCCGCAAGAAGGCAATAAGTTGTGATCTGAGTTATAGGCGTGCCTGGATGTAAGTCAGAGGCCACCCTGGTTTGCACCATGGGTGCGCCAAGCGCAGAAGCTTTGGCTGAGGCGAGGTGCTCATTCCGATGTTTGGACGTTAGTGTTGCAGAGCTCAGAGAATGTACTGTAGTTGGGTGTGTTGCTATGCATTGTTCGTTGTGGACCTGAAACTCTATAACGTTTGTGACGCTCACTGCTTCTCCGGCGACTTGGTGACATGTTTCATACCGTCACCGCGAATTTGCTTGACTGATCCAAAGCGGCATCCATAAACATCCGAAGCACTCAAAGCAACTACACGCCTAGCTAACCCGTGCCTTCTGTGAAACCGACTGAGAAGGCCGCAGCCTTTTCAGAGCCCCAGTAGATGCATTTTCAAACCCCCCCTCACAAAACCCTGAGCCTCAAGTCCCCCCAGCAGCGATTCTGTCGAAGTGGCCAGCTCTGAACCCTAAACCCTAAACCCTAAACCCTAAACCCAAAACCTTCTGAGGCGGTGGAGGACTGCGGCTTCGAGGCCCAGGTCTTGGCAGATGCCGAGGCCGGGGGTCTGCCCAGGGGCTATATAGGCCCTAAACCCTAAACCCTAAACCCTATACCCTAAACCCGAAACCCTAAACAGGGCTTTTCTGGGCTCATGTTTGGGGCTTGCCAGGATGGGCTATTAGGCCTTCTAATCCCCATAACCAACCCTATAAAGGGCCTTTTAAGGGATTGTAAGGTATCATAGCCCATCCTGGTGGTTGGGCTGTTGTGTGCGCGGAAGGGCGGAAGGTCCCCTTTTCATCCCGTCACTCTGGAGCCGTTTATGGTTCCGGGCTGTGCAGGCAGCACTAACGTGGTCTGATTTTTTAGCCGGGGGAGACCAAAAGTTTCTTTTTAAGCTTAAGGTTCATCCTGTGCTGCCCACGGCATGCATGTCTTGCTGCATGCACCTTCATGACTTGCGTCTTGCCCTTCGAGATGTCTATAGCCGCGCATGAAAAGCGCCCTCGAAACTTAAGCCGGCTCATGCCGGACGCATTCCTTCACCCTAAACCCTAAGCCCTCTAGACCCTCAACCTCAGAAATTTAATTTAAAAAATCGGAAAAATGACCAAAAAGACCTTAATTTTTTAAAAAATGCAAAAAAATGACCCCCCAAAAAATGCCTTCCTCAACGAGGCTCCATCAGAGACGGCCCAGCGGCGTGCGCCGCCGGAGACCGCGAAGCTGCACCTGCCACCGGGGCTCAAAAGACCCTTTTGGGGACCACATGAACCCTAAAAAGGGTTTAGGTTCGTACACTAAAATAGGAATTATGGGGTATTCATAGTATATATATATGTATATATATATATATATACATCTACATCTACATCTACATATACATATACATATACATATACATATACATATACATATACATATACATATACATATACATATACATATACATATACATATACATACATTTATATATACATGTATATATATATATATATATAAAGGGTGTAGGGCCAGTTTAGGGTTCATATTCGTTCACAGGAGTTATCGTAGTATAGGGTTTACATGACCCCGATTTTAGGGGCTCATGTGGTCCCCAGAAACCCTGAATCGAGCATGAGCAGTCGCTAGCTAGTTGGTATCGTTTTCGGCCCTAGAGTATAGGTGGGACGCTACGAGTCTCCAGGGTTTATACAAAGCTTTTCTGACTTTAGCTGGGAGGTTGTCTGTTGAAGAAACGGTATGTTTCTGAACGTTTCTGTCCCTTTTACAAGTTGCATGTGTCAGAGCCAGAATCCTGCACGTTTTGAATGGTCAAAATTCCATGTCACGTTCCGAGCAGCCCGGGAAACTCGCAAGTGCAATCAGCACCCTGCCGTCCATGCTTCGGTAGACTTCGCGGCCATTTCCCCGATTCCAAGAACATTCTGCCCCAGAAGCCCCGTAGTACCCTGAACCCAAACCCAGCCCTAAACCCTAAACCCTAAACCCTAAACCCTAAACCCTAAACCCTAAACCCCTAAACCCCTAAACCCCTAAACCCCTAAACCCTAAACCCTAAACCCCTAAACCCTAAACCCTAAACCCTAAACCCTAAACCCCTAAACCCCTAAACCCCTAAACCCCTAAACCCCTAAACCCCTAAAAACCCCTAAACCTGAATTTCCCTGCCAGGTTAGCCCCCGGCAGCGCGGAGGCCGCGAAGGTGGCCCAACAAGCTGAGTCTGTGTGTCTTGGATTTATTACCTACAGTAAGTAGTAAGGTTTAGGGTTTGGGGTTTCAGGTTTAGGGTCTGTGTGTCTTGGACTTATTACCTAAGTAGGAGTAAGGTTTAGGGTTTGGGGTTTAGGGTTTCAGGTTTAGGGTTCTAGGGTGTGTGTCTTGGATTTATTACCTACAGTAAGTAGTAAGGTTTAGGGTTTGGGGTTTCAGGTTTAGGGTCTGTGTGTCTTGGATTTATTACCTAAGTAGGAGTAAGGTTCAGGGTTTGGGGTTTAGGGTTTAAGGTTTAGGGTTCTAGGGTGTGTGTGTCTTGGATTTATTCCCTAAGTAGGAGTAAGGTTTGGGGTTTCAGGTTGGGGGTCCAAGAAAATCCTGGTTCGTTTGTCACACTGCTCCAGAATGCGAAACGGCGTGCTTAGAGGTTGGAGCGAGTATGCTCAAACAAAAGAACCTCAGAGTCTGTCGGAATGAGGGTTTTTTACAAGCCCTCTTCTCCTAGCATGCTCAAACAAAAGAACCTCAGAGCCTGTCGGAATGAACGAGGAATATCCACAAAAGCCCCTACACCCTCCCTAAACCCTAAACCCTAAACCCTAAACCCTAAACCCTAAACCCTAAACCCTAAACCCTGCGTATGGCCACGAATCATCCCAATGGCTTGCACCCAGCTTCCACGAAAGAGTTGGGAAGCTACGGCAAATTTTGACTTCTGACTTCGGACCGAAGCCCTAAACCCTAAACCCTGAACCCTAAACCCTAAACCCTAAGCCCTAAGCCCTAAGCCCTAAGCCTAAAGCCCTAAGCCCTAAGCCCTAAGCCCTAAGCCCTAAGCCTAAACCCTACACCCCCAACCCCCTAAACCTATGAATCCTGAAGCTCCTGAGGACCGGCGTGATGAGTGTGACTCTGTTCGGCTCCGGTGGGGTTCGAATCTTGTATCGGCTGCAGCCTCAGTAGGTTGGGGTTTTGGGGTTTGGGGTTTAGGGTTTAAGGTTGAGGGTTCAGGGTTTAGGGTTTAGGAAGACCTCTTCTGGGTGGGGCAGGATCGGAAGGGAAGAAATGGAGAAAACCCAACGACCCTCAACGGTTCAGCGGTTCACCCCCGCACGTTTTGAGAATGTGTCTGATAGCACTTAGAAAAGCAAATAAGAATATGAGTTTGAGTAGATAGTCATACTTTTGTAAAAAAGACCCCTCTCTCTCTATGTATATAAATATATATACACATACATATATATATATATATGCACAGATTAGGCTTAATCACATAACCTGACACCCTAAAGTCCCTTCCCCGCAACAACTCGGGCTCAATCCCACGGAAAAGTGCCACGCAGTGCCTTGGGCCTCTGCCGGACGGGCCATGCTCCTTGGCTCTGGCGGCTTACCGCGGCTCGGTGGGCAGCGACTTTGCTCGGATCAGGGGCCCAGGGAGAAGCAAGCCCTAAACCCTAAACCCCAAACCCCAAACCCTAAACCCTAAACAGTTTTTACTTCCAAAAAGCCGGGGCCTTGAGATTGGCTGTCAGCACCTCAACAAGGCGAGACAAGAAGGGGGGTTGGGTTTGGCATCGTGAGCTAGCTGATGTATCTCTTGCAGTAGGGTTTAGGCTTGCATGGCCTAGCCGGGCAACGAATCAACGCTCATCGCTGTCAGTGAACATTGAAGTTCTCGAGTCACGACTGAGCCCTGAACTTGAGCGCCGCTTACCACATATTCTCCCAGAGGTCATTGTTAATTTGCTTGGGTGTCCATGATTGTCATCCCCCGCATGCACTTCAAAACGTCGGCTAGGTGGGTGGCAAACCCTGGACCACCTAAACCATGTCCTTCTCAACACAGCCTTAGAGCACAGAGCACGCGATCCCCCCCCCCCCCCATTTCGCAGGCCCAGTTTCGTGCCGAATTGGCCCTCAAACACGTACCGGCCGCCATCTTTGAAGGCAACAGGGCGGTTTACCAGGTTGGGCTTCGGTGTTATGATGTGCTCAGATTCAAGGTTTTCCTTGGGACCACATGAACCTAAAAGGGGTTTATGGTCCTGCCATATCACCTTAAAAGGAATTACAGTATTATAGGGTATAACCCCCCCCCCATTTTAGGGTTCATTGCGTCCCCAAGGCTGTTCTAAAGCTCTCTAAGGTTCAGGGTTTAGGGTTAGAAAGCTTGACGATGCCCACGTGTGTATGGCAGGCTGGCTTTGGCAGCCCTCTGCAAAGAGCGCACGGCATGACGCCAGTAGTGCCGCGCAAGGCTCGGCCCTGCGGTTTGTTTGCTTTGGGGCTTCTGCTTTCAGGTTTAGGGTTTAGGGTTTAGGGTTTAGGGTTTAGGGTTTAGGGTTTAGGGTTTAGGGTTTAGGGTTTAGGGTCCCGGGTTTAAGGCTGCTGAGAGGGCGCATGGTTCAGAGCTTGAGAAAGCAGTGCCCAAGGCTGCTGAAATTATGCCGGTGTAGACCCCACACAGTGGAAGACCGCATCTTCCGCAACTCTATGCTCCATGCATCGCGCACGTACGACCTGCTACTTGCACATGCGCTGCAAAAGCTGCAAAAAATCGACCCTCGAGCCGCCGAGCCTACAGAGCTCCGAAGACCTAAGAGTGAAAGCTGTGCACTTCTTCGAGATTCGCGACCGGCGCAGTAAGATGGAAACGAAACCCTTCCTAGAGCCCGAAAGGCCGAAAAGTGCGTCTCTTCCAAGCTTTGCCAGTACGACTTCTTGGGTTTGGCACGTGGCAAGCACCCGCACTTGGTCGTAGTCTCCGTGCCTGCACATTGATTGGCTATCCTCAACAGCTAACCTTCCAGGATGGGCCTTTATACCCTATAACCCCTTTAAACATGGCCCTTTATCGGGTTGATTATGGGAATTCAAAGGCCCCTAAACACGGCCCTTTATCGGGTTGGTTGATTATGGTTTCTAAGGGCCTAAATATCCCAATTATACCCTACAACCGCTTAGAACGTCCCTCTATCGGAATCGGGTTGATTATGGGGATCTAAAAGGCCTAGTAGCCCATTGAAGCTGGAGGTCGCGAGCAAATCCGGCAGGTGGCGGGCCTGGCGCAATTCGGATCAGGCCCGGGCTCGGGGAACAGAATCGTTTAGGGGCTTCGGGGTTTAGGGGTTTAGGGGTTTAGGGGTTTAGGGTTTTGGGGTTTTGGGGTCTTGGGGTTTTGGGGTTTTGGGGGTTTTGGGGTTTTGGGGGTTTTGGGGTTTAGGGGTTTAGTCACAGCAGGCCAGATGCAAAAACAGGGGTTTAGGGTTTCGGGTGGTCCTTCTCAGAAAGCCCAGAGCAACTAAAACCATTTTGCCAAGCCACTCAACCGATCTGAGATGAGGTCTTGAACCCAGTCAGACATGCAGACATTCAGCCAATTTCCCTGCAGAGTGTCCGAGAGGTCAGCTAAGCGGGTGGCAAAAAAAAAAAACATTTTGCTTCTGAGATTCGCAAACCCTGCTTTTCACTTCTCTGAAGGAATTGGCCGGTTCAGGGAGAAGTGTTGTGATTTCCGTTTTGCACCACAGAGAGATGCGAGAGAGAGAGAGAGAGCGCGAGAGCTGCACAGTGAGGGGGTAGGGCTTCTGGCGGCCTTGGCCCGCAGAGCAACGGGCGATACACAACTCCAGCACATCGGCCTGCTGATGCCCTGCCACAACCTGAAACGAAACTCCTGCGAATGTGAGCATGGATTCGAGCCCGAAGTCGCTGGCCACGAGGCCGCCACGGTGCTTTTCCTGCTTATCGCCTGTGTGGCTTTCGGGCTTGAGCAACTTTGCTGCAGAAGTGGAGCGGTTGACACTGCTGACCTGACAGTTTCACATGTTCACGGCAATGGAACATGCGAGGTTGCTGTTGGAAGGCATCGGAAAGTTTAGGACTCAGTCGTCAGAAGCTTCAGGGCCTCGAGTTGCTTATGAAGCTTGTTGCGCATCTGCAAGTCCGAAACCCGTGAGCCCGAGCCTCAAAGCCCGCCAAAAAATGGCAATTGCTTGGTGGGTGGAGAAAAACAAGCCTGCGTGGTAGCTCAATTTGTAGGTCACCAGTTAAACTCGTTAAACGTTGGCAGATCGTAGGCTTTCTAGGCTCGGACTTCATCAGTGCTGGTGCAAGCGTGGGAAGAAATGAATGCTTCAAGCATCCTTGAGCCCTGCTGCAGTCTTGCAGAGCGATTTCTCCAGGCGCAGTCGAGCACCCATGGTGCGGGGGTTAGCCGTGGACTCTATGAAGCTCGGCCCAAGGTTTGACGGTTCAGGGTTCAGGGTTTAATGGTGACTTCGCATTAATAAACCCCCCCCCCCTTGATTGATCAATCTCTCCGGCCAGGGCCTCCTCAATTATATTCGCCTAAATCCTGGTAGGACGTACTATTAGTTTTAGTATTAGGTAGTAGTGCCACTAGTAGTAGTAGTAGTAGTAGTAGTAGTAGTAGTAGTAGTAGTAGTAGTAGTAGTAGTAGTAGTAGTAGTAGTAGTAGTAGTAGTAGTAGTAGTAGTAGTAGTAGCCCGTAAAAAAAATATTCCGGGCTGGATTTTATAATTGTGGGGGGTTACATTATTGTGTTCCGGCAGCTGGATTTTATAATTGTAGCGGGAATCATTAATGTGAAGTCAACATTAGGGTTCAGGGTTCGGGGTTTAGGATTAAGGGTTTCAGGGTTTCAAGATTTCACGTGAGTTGAGGGTGCACACCGTGGCTCATCACTGCGCAAAGGTTCAAGCGCTTGGGCCCGGCGCGCCCTGGGTAATATGTGCCTTGATACATGGACCTCCCTGTTTGCAGAGGGATGCCCTGCAGACTGCTTTTTTGGAACCCATTCTATAATAATTATAGGTCGGAAGAATCACGAGTAGCATTCCCTTATGGTCCCTTTAGTTCAATTTTTATCATGATACTACATGCAATAGCCCCCCAAAACCCTGTTCTAGTTATTAAGGCCCCTATATTACACCCCAAAGAGCCCCCCAAGCCAAAGGAGTCCTCGCCACCTCCTCGGCGTCTGCTGGGCTTCCGTGGCCATTGTCGGCCGTCCGGCGGCATCGGCGCTGAGGCATCCTGAGCTGCAGACAAGGGGGGTTTAGGGATGTTTAGGGTTCAGGGTTTAGGGTTTAGGGTTTAATTAGGGTTTAGGGTTACTGCCGGGGTTTTCGGGGCGCAAAACGGACATGGTTGCGGCAAATGCGCGGTTGCAGAATTTCATGATGGGTCGGGCGGCGGAATGCCTGCCCTGTGCCCATGCTTTTACACATCTGCTGGGTGTTTTGGGGACGCAGCTCTGAACCGATGAACCGAGTGCGGCGTCTCACTGCGACATGAACCTTCCCTACCCTTAGGGACCTTAGGGACAAAAAGAACCCTAAAAGGGTTTATGGTCCATATACCTTAATAGGAATTAATTATAGTAGTATAGGGTATATAACCCCATTTTAGGGTCCATATACCTTAACAGGAATTATAGTAGTATAGGGTGTATAACCCCATGTTTAGGGTTCATTTCGCCCCCAAGGAAGGCCATTGCCACACCACGCGCTGGCGTAGCGGTGTCGCACGCCGAGCAGGCGGCACAGCAACGTTGCAGAGTCACAGGGTTCGGCTGAGATGGTTTAAGAAGAGCAATGGCCTCGGCGTCGTTGGTTTGTGCCTGCATTGCAGTGGCAGAAAGTTATCGGAAAAGTTGCAGCAGGACTGTTCTCTTGGCATCGATACGACAAGTACGTAAATGTGTGTGCGCTTGCGGTCGCCCTACGATCATGAGGTGCCTCGAGGGTGAATGTTGCATGATATGCTCGCGCAAACCATATGTTGCCCTGAAGCCCGCTGCCACTGGCAAGTTACTTTGGCAAGAGGAAGCTGGAAAGATTGAACACAAGATTCTCCTAGACAACGGCAAAGTGAGTTTAGCATCCCAGATCTTCCAAAGCCCCTTAATTAAGGAATACACCCTAATTTATAATAAGGATCCTTACTAAGAATTAGGGTATACACCTTAATTAAGGGGTTGGAAGATCTGGGTATGTTGTTTCAAGAAGGTTAAGAACTCAACGGGCAATCCAAAAGCAGGTGGGCATCACCTCTTTACTTCAGGGACTGGCAGCTGCAGATCCTGGGCTGATCTGTGCGATGTTAAAGTAGCCCTAAACCCTAAACCCTAAACCCTAAACCCTGATTTTAACGTATTCATGTGGCCTCGGGTCTGCGGTTTGCATCGCGTGCGTTGTGCAGTTTACACTTCTTCATAGTAACACAACAGGAAGGTTGGGTCCTGCTCCTGGCCTCTTTCCTATCATTCACATGTCCTCAGCCCTTTAACGATACGATTTCGTCCCTGGGGCTCCCCCGAGCTTTTGTAAGGTTTTTTAGGTACCTAGCCCCCCATGAACCCCTCTCCCTTCAGGAGCCTTAGCATACCCAAGGTCTTCATGGTTCTTGGCACGAGCAGTGATGTGCAGCTTTCTTTGCCCACCACGTTTTGGATCTGCTTGGGGTCCTCTGCTTTCCTGAATGCCATCATCAAGACATCGGAGTCTTGTCAGGCAATGTTGGGTTCTAAACCCTAAAACCCTAAACCCTAAACCCTAAACCCTAAACCCTAAACGATTGCAGCCAAACGGCACCTTGCTGTGCATTCACCGTCAAGTCAACAGCTTCCATCCCGGGCTGCAAAAGTGAAACAAACCCAAGGAGACGCACGCCTACACGATTGGAGAGATGTCGCTGTGCGCTCCCTTTCTGGCCTTTGACCCAGTGATTCAACTTGCCGTGGGCTCGCAGCTTGGGAGCGAAAATTTGAAGACCACCCTAAACCCTAAACCCTAAACCCTAAACCCTAAACCCTAAACCCTAAACCCTAAACAGAAACCCTAAACCCTAAACCCCTGAATCTGGAGTTCGGGGTGAACTTTTGAGAGCTCCCAGTTCTGGGATCTCCTGGGATGTCGGTGCGTTGGCCAGATCATGGAGCGGTTGAGGTTGCTCAACGTGCTGATTCTACAAGCACCAGCATTCTTGGCTCTGACATGTACCCTAAACCCTAAACCCTAAACCCTAAACTTCCTAAACCCCTCTTTCATGGACTCCGCTGCCTCTTCAGTCCTCGACTCATAGACGGCCCCATCGCACTGAAGCATCCTGAGACTCAACCTGCAAACGAAGCCCCGCCGACCTTTTTCCATCACTCCGTGGGTTTAGGGTTTAGGGTTTAGGGTTTAGGGTTTAGGGTTTAGGGTTTAGGGTTTAGGGGAACCTACCACAACAGAAGAATCGGAATTGTGTGGGCTCCAGGTTCATGCATGTTGGGCACAACAGGTAATGTTCTTTGCATGTCAGGGCATTTCACCAGCTTCTGTGGAAGCCCTGAGCTGCCAGCACCCGAGTTTCATTTCCCCTGGCGCCCTTTCTGGCGAGACTTTCGGTTGCGTGGTGAAGACATAAACCCTAAACCCTAAACCCTAAACCCGAAACCCGAAACCCGAAACCCTAAACCCTAAACCCTAAACCCTAAACATGCTTGGGGCTGTTCACGGCTTCGGTTTATTCTAGGTAGGTTCTCCAGCCGGAACTCCGAACGATTCTTCTCTCCAACAGCCCTATTTCTAAACCCTAAACCCTAAACCCTAAACCCTAAACCCTAAACCCTAAACCCCAAACCCTAAACCCTAAACCCCAAATGAAGCCCTAAACCTTAAATTAAACCCTAAACCCCTCTTTGCCGAGGCTTCTGCTGCCGCTGATCTCGTTCTTTTTTTTGGGCGGCGCAGCACTCGAGCCGCCAAGCTTCCATTTCCTGCGGCAGCTCGACCAGAAAGCCCTGGCTCGGAGTTTAGGGTTTAGGGTTTAGGGTTTAGGGTTTTAAGCGCTGCATGACCTTAAGGACCAAGTGAACCCTAAAAAGGGTTTTGGGGTCAAATGCCCTCTTGGGATTATAGTCGTATGGGTTATTGGGTGCACTGCATGACCAGTAGGGTTTCAGCTGAGAGTTCACTTTCGAGGAAGCTTTCGTGCCCTGAACTTACCGACTGCGCTCCTGTTATTTTGTTCTTGCTCCCATGCCTATGGTCAGATACACAACGCCACTCAACATTGCACATCTTTCGCTCTCACCCTAAGCATGGCACATGCGAATACCCACTAGAACCCCTGTCGCTCGTTCACAAATCAAGCGGCCGTACTGGTTACCTGGAAGTCCTCAGCTTCCGCCGAAACTCCTGAACGCAAAGCAAGTTCGACTCAAGGGCTCATACGCCGCGACAACCAAGCCCCCGAAACGAAGGTCAAAAGCAGAAGGTTTAGAGGGTTTACAGGGTTTATAGGTGTAAGGTATATAGGGTTTAAGGGTTTAGGGTTTAAACCCTAAACCCTAAACCCTAAACCAACCCTAGGGACGCCCTGAACGAGGAAGGCTGCTTCGGTGGCGTGCATTGCTGCAGGCATGCTTGCCCTGTCCATTTCGCGCAGGCGTCAGAGGGGATGTACTGTACCAGGATGGGCGATTAGGGTTTAGGGTTTCGGGTTTAGGGTTTAGGGTTTATAGGGTTTTTAGGCCCTATAACCCCCATAAGCAGCCCTATAAAAAGGCCCTTTTTTAAGGGTTATAGGGTCTAATAGCCCGTCCTGGTAGGGTGACTTTGGGCTCAGGGCAGGCACGCACACACGCACACACCCTTCCACCTGACAACGTTGTACACACCTAGTGTCTAACATGGCCTACCTGCAGTGCTCCGTGCTGGGACTTGCTGAGGCGACGCATTTCTTTCATCATGTCGACATGTCCTGCGTGGAGAGCGAGTTACTCATGCCTAGACTGACAACAACTAGGCTGTACGACACCTTCAGGGGTGAAAAGGCATTCCCGTAGTCACTTGAGATGGGGTCTTGCGTGGATGGCAAAGACTATGCGCGCAGGCAAGCGAAAAGGGAGCTGCCGAAAGGGGCTGGCTTCATCATTCTGCCGCTCGGATTACTGACAGTGTGGCTGGTAGGCTGTTCGTTCACTACGCTCCATTTGGATCCGGCATTTTCCCAGTTCTCCCTTGCTTGGTAGGGTTGTTGCCCGATCTCCTACCGATCCCAATTGTGCTGCTGTTTCTCGTTTGGCACAGCGCTATAGGCGTTGTGAGATAACCCGGAAGTGCGACAGTTGTTGCATACCCATCCACAACGTTTACCCGAACTGATGCCGTGCCCTTGTGCTCCAAGCATTGCTGCGACAGAGAACTTTTCTGAAACTTCAATCGCAGGCCCTGAAGTGAGCAACGTGCGAGTCCCAACACGGTTCAGGTTCAGGTTTCCGGGAGAGCGGGGAGGCGGGGGGGGGTAGTCCTAAACCCTAAACCGGGTAGTAACGGGGAGTAAAGACAGGAACTGCTTCCTGTACTCTGCCACCTACCGGCTGGATGCAGCTGCGGTGGGCTCGCTTGGATCAGATGGTTGGGTGTCTCTAGCGGGCTTTTTGGGGTCCCTCCAGTCCAGGGTTTAGGGTTTAGGGTATAGGGTATAGGGTGTAGGGTTTAGGGTTTAGAGTTTAGAGTTTAGGGTTTAGGCTTTAGGGTTTAGGGTTCAGGGTTGGGGGTCCCTCTCCAGGGGGAGTTGCAGCAAGGGCTCAGGAGTCTTTACGGGTGATGATTAGATGTTTTTTTCGGTTGTTCTCAGCCCACCACGCGGATCTAGCAGTTTGCCTCTAGAACCTGGAACATCCTGGAACCTAGCTGCAACTTGCTCCTGACCCGGACAAAGACACCAACATTTAGATGGTTCTTGATTTGTCCTAATCGCAACGCTCATATTTGCGCACTGTGTCACGTAGTGCTCCACTCGACATTGGTTTACCCGACAGGTCTTGTTCTGCTGTATGCATACTTATGTATCTCTTGCATAATGTTAGGTGAAGGGTTTTTTTTCTGCACTGATGGCCGTACAGTATACCCACCAGTCCATATATGATGCCGGGGTAGACGCAAACAGTGTTCACACGCACCCCGGAGCCCCGCTCCAAGAGCACCTCCAGAAGCACTCCATTTAAACCACTAGGGTTTGGGGTTTAGGGTTTAGGCTAAAGTTTAGGATTTAGGGAATCATGAGGTCCCAAGCGAGTGGGACCGAGAGGGAAGCGCGATTTCGAAAGCGAGTGCATCCTTGCGACTTTTGGCGACACAGAACTGTGCAAGCCTGACAAACCCAAGGGGGGAACACGATCTCGAGCATGGAAGGTGCACAGGAGTGGTCAGACGAGAGCGCGATTGGGCACCCGTCGCAAGGCCAAAAGCATGCCAATGCCAGATTATGCGATATTTGGGACACGTCTTGACTTCCCGTGCCCTGACTTGCACATGGCGCCGAAAGCTTGAGCAGCGCAAAGCACGCCGAAACAGAGGGTCATCGCGCGCAGTGCCCTCGGTGCCTTGCGTGCACGAGCACCGCTGTCAGATCAATCTCGAGTTCGATCCCAAAGCGCGTGGTCGGGCAGTGGGGAATCGCGGGAACACACTCGCAGGCGGCTGTTGGATGAAACAATGGAACAGCTTATAGGTCGCTGCTACAGACTGAAAACGTCCAAACCGCGCCCTGACCTGCTAACCATGGTGAAGACAAGGTCGGCGTGACCAGCACTGTCTGCTACTTTGCATTTAGCCGCCTGCTCATGGCGGCCGTGTGCTTCGTCGGAACGCTGCTTCAGGCTCAGGAGCTCATGGTCTAGGTTGAGGCTCCAGGATTTAGATTCAGAGGTGAGAGGATCACAGCAGGTCGCAGAATCTCACAACTCCTTGGAAAGCGACCTTAACCAAGCCAGAGCCAAAACTTGTAGGTCCTTGAGGCCTTGGGTTTTCGTGAGTTTTGGAGGAGCTCAGGAGCAATCGTTCTGAATGTGGTGCATGACCCCTGGCCACCTGAAAATTCACCAAAGGGATCCTCCTCAACACCCCCAAAATGTTGCACGCGCAAACTAGGACGCCAAGCCAGATGAGCCAACCAAGTCGGGTGGCTGGGACCGAAGAACGGTATCTCGGCTGTTTCGGGTTTCGGGTTTAGGGTTTAGGGTTTTGGGTTTAGGGTGTGAAAGCATGAGACCATGAGACACCATGCAATTCCATCTACTTCTGATCCAGCAAGGAGTTGAAGGCTGCCACCTTACTCCAGGGCATGCAGCCAGCCCTGTAGAGAGAATTGAAGCCCTCGAGGGCGGTTCGTTCTTGCCTCATGGCCACTTTGGGAGTCTGACGTCAAGCCGTACTGACAATCGAATGTGTTGAAAGCTGTTCTGTCCAGATCAGAGATGGAATGGACGGAAGCACCTCAATCAGCAGCACAGCATGAATAAGGTCACGCTGCTCTTGTTTGTATGCGTGGTGGACGCGGCGTACATGCTTTCCATGTACCAGGCTCGTGACGAACCCACTCATCCCCTATGTTCCCTTCACTTTCTGGGACTAGGTCTATAGCCTGCATGCGCATGTGCACTTCGTTGCGGTTGATCCCCACCGTTTGAAGCTTGCATTGCCTTCAGGTCGAAGCTGAAAAAAAGTGTTCGTACGGCCAAAATGTGTGTAGATCATATCAAAGTTCGATCCTCTATACAAGCTTCTTCCCAAACCCTGCAAGCTCTAGCCCCCTGAAGACCTCACTCGCACATGGGCCCTAGAAAGTCTCCCGGTTTCGAGAGAGAATTTGCAACCTGAGCCCCAAACCCTAAACCCTAAACCCTAAACCCTAAACCTCAACGCCGAAGGCTGTGTCGCTGATCTCCCCAGTCCTCGTCTCTGCTGTCAAGCGTGGCGGGGGATGCCTGTCCCAACAGAAGTAAACCCTAACCCTAAACCCTAAACCCTAAACCCTAAACCCTTTCGGGAAGTGCTTTGAAAGTCTGGTCTGCTTAAGGCAAAAGGCTCCATAGCCGACAGCCAGGACCATAGCTTGAAGCCCTTGATCCGCATCTCCCCTAGGTAGGCTCTTGGGACATTTTACATTTTCCCTTGTTTAGGATTTAGGGTTTAGGGTTTAGGGTTTAGGGTTTAGGGATATCTTCCCTTATTGGGCTGAAGAGGATCATATTCAGGAATATTTTTCAGAGGGTTTTAAGGGCAATCCTAGTCCCTAGCCCCCTATCTCAGCCCCCTGGCGACGAAAGCTCTGGTCACCATACTTGGGGCCCTGGTGTAAGATCCTGGCTAAAGCCGAGTCTTGTTCGGCCACCTTCCTTCCACCCTAAAACCCAAACCCTGAACCCTAAACCCTAAACCCTAAACCCTAAACCCTAAACCCTAAACCCTAAACCCTAAACCCTTCCCAGGTATTGTCGTCTCCGCGCTGTGCCCGGGCATATGTTCACAGGGCCTTCGGAACTTTCCACCACCAGTGCTTAGGTTTGCAGAACCCTCAAGATCCTGCGTGGTGGCTTCCTCCTGAACCCTAGTTTAGGGTTTAGGGTTTAGGGTTTAGGGTTTAGGGTTTAGGGTTTAGGGTTTAGGGTTTCCGTAGTGACTTCCTCCTAAACTCTAAATCCCCGATGAAACCTCGCCTGTCCAAGTTTTGGTGCCCTCTTCTTCGGCGAGAACCTGTCAGGCAGGAAGCGGCTCGGATGAATAAACCCTAAACCCTGAACCCTAAACCCTAAACCCTAAACCCTGAACCCTAAACCCTAAACCCCTAAACCCCTAAACCCTAAATCCTAAACCTAAATGTGTCTTGTGACCGGCGCAGGCCTTCTTTGGGTAGCCACAGATTTTGAGGTAAATCCTACAAAAGGCAGCTTTGCAAGTCCGGAGGGGGGGAGGGGGATTGAGGGCAGCTGCCCTGAAGACTCAAACCCTAAACCCTACACCCTAATCACTTCCGGACTTCCGGGTTCGGTGGTGACCTCTGGCTGGCGACGACAAAACCTGGAGACCTAAGCTACGCATGACGCACGTAGATGTTCTAGGCCGCCTGAGCCTGTGGCTGGCCGACTACGGTGAGAGGGAGCAGGAGGAGGCGGAAGAAAAATAGGACTGTAGGAAGTATAGGAAGAGAGAGAAAAAGGAGAAGGAGAACAGAACGAGATGTGTAAGCCCCGTAAGGCACAAGCCCAGTCTCGGAAGGAGAGCGCACCCTTTCAGATGCCCCAGCTCGGACTGCATAAGCTTGCTTATCTGAGCTATCCCGCGACACGGCTCCGTGCTCCGCAAGGGTTGAGTTATAGGTGTCGGAATAATTAGGAACAGTTTTGCCTGATGGCCCCTTTATATGTACAGTATAGCAACCCCTCCACCAAAAAAAAAGAAAACAAACTCTAATCTAGCTATCCAGGCCCCTATATCCCGTTCGCGAGTTGGAAGGCTTGCTTTGTCTCAGCCAAGGAAGCTGCTCCTCAGCATTGCTGCCGCAGTGACCTTGCTGTGCCTGTGAGATCCTTTGAGCATCGCGTCGACGTACGGCTTTGTGGGCAGATATATGTTACCTATGTTAAGATGCGGGGTCGGGTCAGGTTCCAGAGCTCATTCAAGAAAACTTTCAACCCTAAACCCTAGACCCTAAACCCTAAACACTCTGGAGGCAGACATGCTAGAGGTCGGTGGTCAGGTGCGAGAACTTCTCTTGCCATCGGACAGATGCTCGCATCTCTCTTGCCGTTTCCGATGCGTGTGCTTGCTGACGGCTTATTGCCACTGCGGGCTCATATAGTTGTATGACTGTGCCTTTGCACATGACGTTCCGGGAGATTTTGGCGATGTTCTGGCAGAGGGTCCGGACACAGGTTCCGAGTGTTGAATTCAGGCGCGGATTGTTTGCCGTCTGCGAGCTGTCATACCTGTGAATCAGAACCCTGCTGAACTCGTGAGAGACTACTGACTACACACTGAAGCCCCAACCTTCGATTCCCATAGAAATCCTTTGAAGAGCTTCTTTTTGGTTTACCGACTTAAGACCCTTTGAAAGGCCTAAACCCTAAACCACATGTCTGAACACTTGGATCCTGGATATCCGGAAAATCTCAGTCGCCGACATCGCAATCCACCAGTTCGTGGCCTTTCAGCGTGTCACTGCTGGGGGATCCCTGTCACTGGACCCTGATCCTAAATCCAACCTGTATACGTCTAGACTATCAGCAGCTATTCTCCAACTAGGCCAAGCAGCAGGAAAGCCCTGCGACCCAGTGGTAGCAGTTCATAAGTTCATATTCTAGCCGCCATTCCCAAAGCTCCGACTTCCATCTACTCAAAAAGATCGCCGAGATAGCTAGGCCCTCTACAGGGCTCGGGGTCATAGTTTTGCGGGCAAGCCGCACGGCCAGCTCACCCCTGCGGTCCGTGGCGATGTAAAAGCGTGCAGGGTTTAGGGTTTGGGGTTTGGGGTTTAGGGTTTAGGGTCCGTTTCTCGTCATGACCCCAGCTATTGTTGCAACTTGCAAGCAAGACAGAGAACTAAAAGCCTTACAAGCCACGTGGCTTATGTGACCGGAATACCTCCTCATCCTCAACACAGCCCATGTGGTATGAGTTGCAAGTCGATCCAGAAATCCCAAGCACCTGGCCGAAACTGCCTTTTAGGGTTTGGGGTTTGGGGTTTTGGGTGTGTGATGGTACAGGGATGTCTCGGGTCATGTGAAGGGCTACCTCACGAAGTTGAGAAACCATCCCTAGACATTACTAAGCCAAAACTGAAGCACTAGAAACTGTGAAGATGATTCGGCTGCTTGTTTTAGACATTTTTGAGATTTCAAAGTCGTAGCCTTCATTTGCCGCACCCAGTAACTCAGTCATTTAAACTCTTGTGAGGCGTCTGAGTGTCTGAGGATCTGGTTGTCAGTCTGAGTGTCTGAGCGTCTACGTGCCTACTCGGGCAGTCTCAGAGCCTCAGACACTCAAACACTCAGACGCCTCACAAGGGTCTGAATGACTGGGTGACTGGGTCTTGCCCGTGAAGGGCAAGACTTTGGAGTGACTCAGTGACTGGTACTGCTCTGAGCGACTGAGCGACCCCCAAGTTCTCAGCACTGTGAGGCCAGAGCAGCTGAATCCGCGCGAGTTGCTCAGTTCGCTGCAGCACTTGGGCTGCATTGGCGAACAGCTAGCCAGCCCTCCCCCAACCGGCAAGGAGGTTTTGCAGGGCGACCACTTAGAACGAGAGGGCCTCAAGACAACTCACTCATGTAAAAAGGCCTCGGAGTCCGGACCCTTTAGGCCTTCGTCCATTTTCGTAGCCCCAAGCTCATTGTCGATCGGCAGGAACCAAGAGTTTACCCTGGAGCCGACGGAAGCGAGAAACGCCCAGGCAGGAGTGGGGACCCCCCAGGACTGAAAAAAGGTTAGGGATTAGGGGTTCGGGGGGTCAGGCTCCAGTGCAACTTTGCGGTCTGGTTCAGCTGCGGGTTGAATTCTGTAGGAGTTGCCAATCAATGTGCATCTCAGAAATGCAGGGCTTGTTGCAAGTACAGGGTAGCAGGTCAAGACAAGTTGCAATATAGCACAGGAAGATTTTGTCTTTGAACATTGAAAGACCAAATGCGACCTGTCGACTTTAGACACTCAAAGGAGGTGGCGGCAGCGAGTCTTTTGAGTTTTTGGGGTGACTGAGGTTTCGGTGGTCCGGACCCCTAGAACCCTTGAGGCGTGTGGGTTAGGTGGTTCATAGAGAGAGAGAGAGAGAGAGAGAGAGAGAGAGAGAGAGAGAGAGAACAAGAAAAGAAACTGTATTGCCTTACCCGACCGCAGAGTTGTGGACTCGCCGTGGAGCACAGGACTAGAAGTAAGCTGTCTTTTCGCGAGACGCCGTCAGGTGAAGTTAAGGCTTTCCATCTCACCCTAAACCCTAAACCCTAAACCCTAAACCCTAAACCCTAAACCCTAAACCTTTTTCTGGGCTCCTGGTCGAGGCTTCGGCTGGCGACCGCTCCTTGTTCGGCGACCTGCGGTGCGCGCTGCCGCCCACGCTGCTGATCCTCGCGGCTACCTGGGCTTCCAAAGCTTCGGGGATTTGGGGTTTAGGGTTGAGGGTTTAGGGTTTGGGGTTTAGGGTTTAGGGTTTAGGGTTTAGGGTTTAGCCGCTGCCTGGGCTTCCAAATCCCTTAGGGACGAAAGGAGCCCTAAAATTGGGGGTCATATACCCGATCTGGCTCCCTAAACCCTAAACCCTAAACCCTAAGCCCTAAACCCTAAACCCTAAACCTCCCTAAACGTGTCAGGCCCTCTGGATGAAACGGGTAGTGATAGAAGTTTCAGAGATGGCCTGCGATCTCGCTCCTGGAGTGATTTGGGCGGCCTGAGGTTGCCCTCTGATGCAGGGGTGGGGGTTGCTTGGCTGGTTGCACTAGCGTGAAGCCTGCTGCCGCAGAGAGTGCTTGCAGAAACCTCCCTAAACCCTAAACCCTGGCATCGGCCAAAGAAAAGAGCCCTAAACCCTAAACCCTCCTTTGGCCTCAAGGAACAGGGGACTCCTGAGGTTGTATTCCTGCTGCCGCTCACGGGCTCATCCCAGATTCTGCGCTTCTCCTGCGGCGTTCCAGGGCTGCATGCTGAGCATCTTGGGACAGCATTTGGCAGCTTTGGGCCTTGGGTTTAGGGTTTAGGGTTCAGGGTTTAGGGTTTGGGTTTAGGGAGTTTAGGGTTTAGGGTTTAGGGTTTAGGGTTTAACCATTTGGTGGTTTCCGAAATAAGGGGTACCTTCTTGGGGTCCTTTTTATGAGGGAGTCCTGCTATTTGGGGTGCCCTGTTCGGGATCAGCTTTGGGCCTTGGGTTTGCTGTGGCTCAGGGGATGTTGGGAGATGAGGGCTGAGGCTTCGTGCACTCGCCTGTGGGTTTAGGGTTTAGGGTTTAGGGTTTAGGGTTTAGGGTTTAGGGTTTGGGGGTTAGGGTTTAGGGTTTCGGGTTTAGGGTTTAGGGTTTAGGGGACTTTTCTTTATCTTCGCCTCTATTCAGGATGCAACGGGATACGGCAGGTGTTTTGGAGGCAAGTGGCAAGGCTGAAGCACCCTCCAGCTTAGACTGGCTTAAAGCCCTGCATGGCTGTTGTTGAACCGGAAGATTCCCATGCAGATCAGGACGCTGTTGCTGTTCGCCCTTGCGACGCCGGTGCAATGCTGCCAGTTTCCACTGCTGGGGATTCTGGTCTTAGGGCTGGGCATGTGCTTGAAAAGCCTAGCACCCTGTGTCTGTGTGGGTGCGCGAAACTTGCGCGTATGTAGGTATTGAGAGGTGCTTAATTGCGCCGAAACCCAGCAGACAGCCCCAACACCGAAAGCATCCAGAGCGACAGCTGAGGTTGTGCAGCCAGGAGGCATCTTGCTTTAACCAGTGTGTATACGTCCCTCAACCCTAAGCCCTAAACCCTAAGCACATTCCCTGTGGAGTGGCCCTCTGGGCTCAGCCGTGGCGCCTCAACCTTCAACCCTAAACCCTCAACCCTAAACCCTAAGCACGACCCTGGAGGTGCCGGTCAGGATTTGAGGATTTTGCAGAGGTTGCTGTGGGAACTTCGGCATGTGGGATCCGACCAGGGCATGCAGAGCCTCGCAATGTTTCTAAACATCAAGGACTCAGCAGGCCCCTGGGACATGTTATATTCACCCTTTTAAGAGGATCATATTCAGGATTTTTTTCAGAGGGTTTTAGGGGCCATCTAGAGGAGAATGCCAAGTCCATCCTGAAGCCATAGCCCCTTTCAGGTGCCTCACTGCGTTCTTTATCTTCATACTTCCCTACACATAACACACCGAAGTGGACGTCAAAGAAGCCTACTCGCAGAAATCGACAGGTGCTTCGTAAACCTTCAGGTTCAGCACCTGTTGAGAGCCATCAGTCTTCCCGCACAGGGTCATGAAATGGTCGTAGGTCTTGGGCTTTTTGTTGGGCAGGAATGCCGAAGCCAGAAATCCTAAACCTTGCCCTTTCGCGAGGTTTCATCAGGCAGCGCGACGGGCGCTGAAGCGGCGCTCTCCGCTTCCTGGCAGAAGTGAAGGGCTCTTATTCTTGGGGGCTTCAGTTGGTGAGGTCCGAAACCCGAAACCCGAAACCCTAAACCCTAAACCCTCTAGTAGGGTTTCGGTTTCGGGTTTCGGAAGGTTTCCGGTTGAGAGGGCGGGAAGCCAACGACACACAGGCGCTGATGAAGCTGTAAATTGCCTGGATCCCGGCGTTCCCCCGGCCCCAAGCTTTGGCTGTTGGGGTTTAGGGTTTAGGGTTTAGGTTCTGCGGGTATCCGACGGGGTTGCGAGGGCTTGGTCTTGTCGGCAGAGCTCACGAAATAGGATGTGCTGACCCCTGAGCGTGACGAGTTCAGGGTACGTGCGTTCAAAGTTTGTGACGCCGAAGCCTGGAGTCGAAGCAATCTCGAGGAACATGGACGTGCTGATCTCGACGGCAACCTGCACCTGGCCTGGTTGTTGCTGGTATGACTGGTGTTGATGCCTTCGTCGTGAGGAAAGGCCCAGGGCAGCAGGATCAGGACTACTTTTTTTTTTTTTTCAGATGACGGGCCTGCACGCTTGAGGCCTGGCGTATGGCTACTCCACCTGCATGATGGCTTCTCGGCACCCACACATGGGGGTTTCCGAACATGGGGGTTACCCTTTTTGGGGGCTATGCCTCTCCCCCCCCCAATCCCACCTACTTTGTGGGCTCACACTTTATCATAGGTCCTGACAGAAGGCTCTAATTCCTATGTGCCCCTGCGGGTGCTGAGCTGTCTCTTCATTCGATTGCTTTGACGGTTCTGCTGGCCTTCCTGGCTTGAAGCTGTGGGTCAGCATACAGTCTGGGTTTATTCGCGGGGGTTTCCGGACAAGGCGCTGGCGGTCCTTTTTGCTGCCTCCGGCGAAGTTCAGGAGACCGACTGTGCAGCTTTCGTTCTCGTATTAATCCTGACATGATTTCGAGATCAGGTGGCCACAGTGACGAAGGTGACATTTCCAGAACAGTTGTGGGTCTTGCCGTTCCCGAAGCACCCAAAAGCACACCAATCATCACTGTTGCTTCGGGCACTGTTCCCATCGGCAGGGCATTGCAAGCAGTGGTATGTCGAGCTGTTGGGTCAAAGCTGCGAGAAATCCGCTTTGAGCTGTGCTTTGAGAAGGATCCCTCTTCCTTGTGCATCTCATCCTCTAGTCTAACCCCACATACTGCCTCCATACAACGTTTCAGGAAGCCTAGGCATTCCATGCTAGAACCACGCCTTTAGGGTTTTTGGCGCTGTTCCACTTCGGATAAAACCTCAGCCCCCTGAAGACCGGCTTGCTTTCCGCAGGAGGGGCCTCCTCCCCACTTCTTCGAGACGCCTTGCACTCTGGTCACTGCCGCCTGTCCGCATGCGGGGCGTTTTCTCTCGCTCGCTTGGGCCCTAAACCCTAAACTCTAAACCCCAAGCTCGCAAAAGCTGCAGCAAAGCTGCAGAGTGCAAGTTGTCTTGACTTGTTCTCTACCCGCGAATCGCCCGCGAACCTGGGGTTTAGGGGTAAAAGGGGTTAGGGTTTAGGGCGAACCTGAACCTCAACTCAAACCTAGAGTGAGCGAGAGTTCTATTGGGCAGAGGAAATGCCAACAAGCCAAAGCCCTTACAACCTCGGCACTGCTGCTTGGGGCATACGGTTTGGAATTTACTGTTGGGTGTCCAAGGCTTGGGAAAGAAGAAGCAAGAGCACCCGAAAGACCTGAGCCTACAGCCAATCATGAAAGCCCCGTACGATGAACTCCCGCACCTCCCCACACCCTAGGGAGATCCCTCTTCATACACTTGCGGACAAAGAAAACAACAACTCAGTCAAAGTCCAAGAATTCTGGAACATGGCTGAGGTGGTTCTCATCGGCCGTCTCTTGGAGGCGAGGGTCAAGGAGAGGACCACACAATCCCTGGATGAGCCTTGGCTTAAGGCTTATAAGCGTTGAACCCGGTGTTTTTGCCTTTCTTTGTTTGAGCGAATGTGTTGTACATGCTGAGTGTAGGACTCCAGCAGGCACTCTTTTTCGGACAATTGTAGAATCTGAGTTTGTGAGTGTTGCTGCCAAAGGGCGAACAATATCACAAGTGGTGCCTTAGGTTGCGAGACAGAAGGGTGGGGGTGTGAGCATTGGGGGTCATGTTGAGACCCTAGACTAGAGTCTAGAGATTCACTGAGGTGTAGGAGCCTTAACTGAATCATCTTGCAAGTTTTGCCCATGCCCCTGAGTGTTCATGCCCTCTGCAGCCATATCGAGCCCACACTGTTCGAAAGCCTGTGGTCCCTTGACCGTCCACCATCGCGATGACGTCCCGTCTGCCACCCGCGAAGCGTCAGGCGCAATTGGGCTGAGAGAAGAGAATTTGGAATTGTTGGAATTCGGGGCCGTCGGCATAGTTGGTGGGGATTGGAGCGACATGGAGTACTGGAGAGAGCGGGCTGACTAGACTTGTTCGGTCTAGGTGGTGGCTTTGTGTAGCTAGCGCCTTGGGTTGATCCCCAGAGCACTTTGACTTGGTTCTCGCTCGGCCCGATGACACTCCATACGAATTGCAGACGACGCGGCCAAGACTGGCGCAGGAGCAAGATGACAGCTCAGGCTCCCTGCAACACCGCCGATCTCACTTCCGACCCTTGGCAGTGGAACGGGGCTGGCTGAAGTTTTCACAGCAATAGTGGGCAGTTCGGAGTTGAAAAGGTTGGGGGAGCGGGTTTTTGGGTTTAGGGTTTAGGGAGCAGTCATAGGGTGCACTTTAGGCTTTGAAAGGTGCTGGAAGACTTGTTTCGAGTGGCATGATGCGTAGTTTCCTCATGCTGGGAGGCGTGTGCAAGGGCCGTTACACTACAATATGGCCACTTCAGCTGAGGGAGGAATAGAGATTCGGGAAAGGGGAAGACAGGGAGAGAGAGCCACAAAAGCTTCCTGAACTCGCAGCGTGCACGCATTTCAACCAGAAGTTGACGTTCCATAGCCCTTCGCTTCAGGAAGCGGCTCTGCCGCACTGCAGCTGACCTGCAGCTCGGAGGAAAATAAAACAGCACAGCCTTTAACGTCATGGGGCAGCACGGTTGAGAGCTGCTACGATAAGAATTGCCATATGGCCCCCTAAACCCTAAACCCTAAACCCTAAACCCTAAACCCTAAACCCTAAACCCTAAACCCTAAACCCTAAACCCTAAACCCTAAACCCTAAACCCTAAACCCTAAACCCCCCCTCTGTGGCTTGAACATCTCAGGTGAGCGGCGCGAGAGCCTAGACTTGCCCAAGAACCCCTTCGGGGACACGGCGCCTCTTGCTTGCCATGGAAGTCGGGGGAATGGGGTAATACAAGGAGGGGCCCCCTTACTATACTAACTGTAGTTAAGGGACCTATTTATACTAACTGTAGTTAAGGGACTTAGAACGTAATTTAGGATCCTTGTAACCCAAGTTAGGGCTCTAGGGGGGCCCCACCTTGTATAATTATGAAGGCCCCTACATTATGCCCTCTGAGATTGGGCGGCCGGGCTTCGCAGCTCCGACTTGGACGGATAACGAACAGCCTGCCAGCCAACTTTCCCCTAGCCCTCTGCAAATTCGGTGCATGCGCCCAGATCTTTCAAAACCCCTTAGTTAGGGCATATACCCTAATTCATAATAAGAATCCTTAGCATAAACTAGGGTATTTTCCTTAATTAAGGGGTTTTGGAAGATCTGGGTGGTGAAGATTGAGGCCTCTGACAGCTCGTAAGCACTCAGAGCCTTGCTACCTGCATTCGGTCGCCCCAACCCCAGGACTCAGCTTGGGGCCCAAAGCCTGACGTTGAGCGTGGGTGCTTCCATACTTCTAGCCGTGTAGCCCAAGCAAGGTTCGAACTTCCGGACCCAGAGAACCGGCGGCCGGAACTGGGAGGGAGGGCTCAAGTTCATGGTCTTACAGCATCTTTCCCTTCAGAAACTTGATGTGCATTTTTGAAGCGGGCTGTATAGGTTGGTCTGCAATTTTCTGTTAAAGGGTTGACCCTGAACCCTAAACCCTAAACCCTAAACCCCAAACCCTTGAGGGTTCAGGGAGTGCCGTGTGGCAGGTAGACGGGCTCTGAAAGGGCAAAAAAAGGGTCATCCCGGCGGCTGTGCGCCGCACCTATGTGATCCCGCAGTCTCGTCCTCGGCTTCCTTGTCCTATTATAGGGGTCGGAACAATTACTAATCGTATTCCCTTCCGGTCCCTTTATAACGAAAAAGAATCACCTCCCAAAACGCTACTCTAATCATTAAGGCTCCAAAATCACTTTCCACTTTCGCTTCTCGTTCCAAGCTGTCGATGGACACCTCCAGGGCCCTTAGAAGCACTTTTGGTTTGCTAGAAAGCTTCTTCCCCCTGGAATGAGGGAATGAGGGGCCCTATATATATATACACCCTTAAAGGGATTATATAGGGGCCTCATTCCCTACTAAGAACCAAGGGGGAAAGCTTCTTCCCAAGATGTACTGGAGCAGATGTGGAGAAGCTTGGTCTCCGTTTGGTTTTCTAGTTCTCTATCTCGATCTTTCTCGTTGTTTTCTCCACTATGTTTGTTTCTCTCTCCCTCTCTCTTTTTTTTTCTCTCTCTCTCTCTCTACCTTTCTCTACCTTTCTCTACCTCTCTCTACCTTTCTCTACCTCTCTCTCACCCTCTCCTCGCACAACTGTTCCGTGTCGATAATTGGGAGGCTTGAACCCTGGGGATGAAATGAACCCCAAAAATGGGGATCATATACCTCAATACTACTATAATTCCGATTAAGGCATTTGGACCATAGACCCTTTTACTTACTGTTGGTTTGTAGGGAGGGAATGAGGTACCCTATATCTCCCTACATATACCCTTGAAGGGATTACCTCCTTCCCTCATTCCCTACTAACCAACAGAAAGTTTAGGGTTCATGTGGACCACCTACTAAACCCTAAACCCTAAACCCTAAACCCTAAACCCTAAACTGGTCCCCAAGGAAGAAGCCTGAAGCCGTGCCCGCAGGCATCAGTCGCAGAGCGCCTGTCAGCTGCCTCGGACTCCCGCAGCTCTGTTTGCACTGAAAGAGGAAGGTAGGGTTTAGGGTTTAGGGTTCAGGGTTTAGGGTTTAGGGTTTATTGTTTAGGGTTTAGGGTTCAGGGTTCAGGGTTCAGGCTTCAGGGTTCAGGGTTTAGGGGGTTAGGGTTTACGGTTTGTAAGATTCGGGTTTAGGGTAAAGGGTTTAGGGGTTAGGGTTTACCCTTTTCAGGACTGTTCGCATAAGGGGGAACATTCCAAGTTGGGCCCCGAAAAGCGCGTGCACTTCGGCACGCGCCACAGTCTTCTTGCATCTGAACTTCTGTCCGTGCCGAAGCTCCTGTGGGACAGGAAACCGTGCCTAAGCCGTTAGCACCAGAACCCTGCACCCGGAACCCTGAACCCTAAACCCCAAACCCCAAACCCCAAACCCTAAACCCGAATTAAACCCTGAACCCTAAACCCTGCATGCTAGCAGTCCTTAATAGGGGGTACTATAATCCCTCTTTAAGGAGTGTCAGGAAAAGGGGGGAACATCTCAATGCCCAACAGTGTAAGGATACATGGGACTCTCTGACAACGAAGCATTCAGACCACTTCATGGAAGGGTGCCTGTAGGATGGCGAAAATCTCTTGAACTGTTTCTACTAACTCCCTAAGAACACCGAAAAAACAAGCAAAGGGATTATCATTTAGGGTAAGAAAGGGATTATCATTTTTAAAGTTCCTTTGGGGTTCTTAAGCAAATAGTGTTGGGGCTCGGTGATTCAGGAGTCACACGACTTACGGCCCAATCTGTCGTGTGATGCAAGGGGCAAACCATCCAGTGACAAGACGCACCTAGGGTATAGGGCTTAGGGTTTAGGATTTAGGGTTTAGGGTTTAGGGTTTAGGATTTAGGGTTTAGGGTTTAGGGTTTAGGGTTTAGGGTAGAGCCTTCTGAGGACACAGCTGTCCTTGCCAGCCGTGGAGCTTGCAAAGTCCCACTGCTGAGTAAGTGAGGCCAGGCTCCGAGGGTGAGGTGCGTTTTTTTTGGGGTTTAGGGTTTAGGGTTTAGGGTTTAGGGTTTAGGGTTTAGGGTTTAGGGTTTAGCCCAAATGTGCTGAGGAGTCAAGGCTTTTGGTCCCCAGCATGGCGTGCTCGGGCCTGCCTTGACCCTTTTAGCATCTTGCACTTGAGTCACTTGAGCACCTTGCCAACTGTCGTTCCTAGGGCGAGAAATGTGGGAAACTT